GCTTTGCGATGCTTTATTTCGAACGAGTCGATGACGATTTGATTTAATACCCTATTTTTAGACTCGGGTCTCAAATATTTAATATTTACATCGCAATTAAGGTGAATCCGACTAGGACATCGACCTCATCGTTCGCTTGATAAAATTGACGTGTAAAAGTGCTGCTTTGTAGCCTATTTGCAGAAATAAATTCACTTGTTTCACTATATAAGTAACTAATAATATTATGAGATTCTGTTTGATAACAATAAGAATAAATTCCGAAAGATACGTCAATATAATAATATGATAATGATATGATCGTATTGACACTATGTGAATGGAGGAAACGTACGTTTTTCAGTATTTTCATCTCGTTTTTTCGTAAAGATATTCAGCTGGATTTTTTGTTACATTGCAAATTATTCCTGTCCTGAAGCATTATTACTTAGGTTATTGGTAAAAACTGCATTAAGCGCTGAAATGACATTGTACGTGTGCTGAAAAGAGACTGAGATAGTGTTTAGTGCGCAACTACAAAAGCTAGCGTGCACGAGGAAGTAAGAAAGTGGGTAACCTGAAACAACTTATACTGAAAGCAACGTATAAGAAAGAAAAGGCATTCTGCAACGTCTTAGTACCTATACAATGCAATCGTAGTAGATGGTCTCCTTTATTATCATGTTTGCCTAGTACTTGAGATGCAAACACCTGCACTTTTGCGGGTATTCCTTAAAACTTGCAATCAACACTATCAATGAGTTACGCTTGCATGCTTTCATGGATGCGATTATATAATTCAAAATCAAGAACCCAATGTATTTGTATTCTTATCTTATTTGTTGTATGATTTACTAAGTATTGCATTATGATACTTATTTGGTATGTGGAACATGTTATTGTCTAGCTGTGCATAATACAGGAAGGAAGAAGTGAAATGAAAATGCAGGTAACGCCTATATTAAATTAGTTTATTTCTAATCACATGCAAGTTAAAAAAAAAATAGAAAATAAAAACAATCAAATCCATTAATTGCAACTATTTATGTCGTTTTTGCTAGAATTTCCACAACATTCAGTCGGAAATTAAACAAAAAAATCTGTCATTTTAACTTAGAAATTGAACAAAATCCTTAGCGATTTGTTCAATTTTTCGTTGATTAGTGTTTACAATGAGAGCACGTTGCCCGGCATTACTACTTGTGACTGATATGGAAACGAGATTTGGTTAGCCGTAGGACCGACAGCGAGCTCCGTTGCATAATACAACGTGTCGCCATCTTGCACTGGCTGCAAATTGGCCAAGTTTAGAAATTGCATTTGGTTATCGTGACCTTCTCCTTGTACAAAATTATCCATAACTAAAGAACCATCTCCAACATGCGAACGCATATGAAAATTTAAGTGACTACTTTGTTTGAATCTCCGTCCACATACGGAGCACTCGAATGGTTGTATGTTGGTGTGAGTGCGCATATGTTGGCGAAGATGTACCGACTGCGAGAAACACTTGCTACAAATGACACACTTGAACGGCTTCACCTTGGTGTGTGTCCGAAGATGTTGGTCCAGTCCTGCCTTTTGTGTAAATGCTTTCGGACAGAATGTGCAGGCAAAGGGGCGGACACCTGTGTGCATTCGCATGTGCTGCTGTAAGCCGCCTTGTTGAGTAAATCGTTTAGCACAAATCGAGCACTGATGCGGTTTCATCTTTGCGTGGACGATACGATTGTGCTCGTCGTACTCGGTGCTATCCAGGAATATTAGACTGCAAATGCGACAAGAGAAAGTAAACTGAGTTGATGCGTGCAGTTGTGCAGGGATCGTTTCATTCGGGTAGAAGTTCCGGTCCAGGCGCTTCTCGCAAACCTGACAGCGTAGTGCGGCCTTGCGTCTTTTAGTATGCTCTTCCCGATAGTGAAGTGAATAATCACAGCAGTTGAAGAAAATCTGACGACACTGCAGATCCGGCCGCAGGGTCGAAGGGAATGTGCAAGTAAATGGTCCCCTGGTTGAAACAAATTAAAAATAAGACCCCAGGCTCATTTAGTCTGTCATACATAAGTATATGAAAAAATCACGACACAAACTAAATTAAATAACATACTCGTGTATATTATTGTTATTCAACATACCATTAAAATAATTATAAAAGCAACACGTACCTGAGATCAATCGGTAGTTTAGGTTTCATTTGTGTCTTTTTCACAACACCATCCAGTCGGTATCGCTTCATGGCATCGGTATCAATGTCGTTTCTCTCGATTTTGATAATTAAATAAGTTGTGTCTTCGGAAAATGTACGCGTGATAAAACCATCACGTCCTGTCGTTTGTTCATCATTGTTTTTATTTAACGGTATGAAATTGAAGCCGCATAGCCCGTTTATGTTCTGTTCAAGACAAATTAGTTACTAATGAAAATATATTTTTTTTCCTTACTTCCTGCTACGCGGATAGACTACATTTAGTTAAAGTTTTTTTTTTATTATGAGTCTTGTACCTCAGGTCATATTTTGACGGCACTGGGCGACTTAAAAAAAACAAATTAAAAAGAACAATAGCCGTCTAAGTCATTAGATAAAAATATATATTAATAAGTCTTACCGCAGTCTTACATTAGACTTAATAACTAAAAAAAACGTAAACAAACAAATCTAATAATAGGAGATTGCAACTCACTTGATCACTAAGCTGTGCAGGTTTCTGCTGAAATTCCACGTCACTATTAATGACTTCATCATCATGCTGTGTCTTTTTATGATTTTGTAAAGCGTTCTTATTGTAAAAAGTTTTCATGCACAATCTACAAGTGAAGTCGGCTGGCGTTTCACCCCAAATAATGGGATACTGTAACTGTTGAATTGTCATAATTATTTTCTAGTAGGTAGGACGTTGAGTTTTTTATTACGAGCAGTATAGGGAAGGTATTCTGAGACTTCTCCTGCTATTCTTAAAACTACAAGCACAAATAGACGATCGAACTGAACCGTCACCGTACCGTCAATTTGGTTCGGTGGTCCAGCGATATCCATTGAAAATGTACGGCAGACCGCTGTAGACACTAGCGAATATGGTCCGGACAAAAGTGACGGTTCGGTTCGATAGTCTATTTGTACTTTTAGTCTCGGATCACGAGTTAAGGGGAAAGAGAAGGGAGGCGGTCTTGCTTAAAAAATATACCTCTGTTGTGACTTGTGACTGTCAAATATACTCGTGGAGGTAGGTAAAGTAAGTAAAATTTAATGCGTATATTCCGTATAGATAAAATACTTACAGGATTACCAGGTAAAAGAAGCAATGGTTCCGACGACAGCACACTGTCGCCTACTTCTGCCATTTTTCACTTAAAAATACTTTAAAGCCATAAGACTTTTAAACAATAATTGCCCACAGAGTAGGCGCTTTCAATCTTGCAAAAACTTCCTAAAAATAACTTAAATAAGTAAGAGTACGGAGAATGTCGTAGCTTAATTACTGCCTATTGAGATAACAACTGAGGCGTTGATATTCCGTAAAATAATATACCTAGGTTAGGGTTTCAAAGTACATAATTTTTGATATTAGAAGTACACAATAGGTAGGTATAATTAACTTACCCGTGAGCAAAGCTGCGGGCAACTTTAACTGTGTAATTTCACTGTAGTGTAATCGTAGTTCAGTATATAAGTCCAAATAGTCTACATTGCTACACATAGTTAAAGTAAAACTGAGCGATATTTCATGTTTTGTCATCATGGCCTCATAGGTGACCCTTTTCTACTTCACAGTTACTGTTCAGTTTGACTGTACAGTCCGATTGTACAGTTAAATTGCACAGTTAAAACTGAAGGTGTGTAAGCTGTATAAGCTTGTTCATGTAAACTAAATATTTTTTTTAAAGCCTCAGTATTTGTCTAGAGGTTTCTTGGTTTTAGTAAGTGCTTCCTATAGCCCATGCAACGTTGCGACGCACGGTTCGCTAGTGAAGAAAAGGGAAGGTAGCGCCATCTATTGAAATCTCTGATAAATGATATACTGAGCTACGATTCCGGAGCCATGTCGTGAGCCGTGACAACCGCAGTATTGTAATATGTTTCCTTCCTATGAATTAAAATTACGTAGAGATGGCATTTGTCCGATAAATACTTAAAGTGGATAATTAAATTATCCGTTTTAATTCTATTATTTATCCAGTTTCTTGTACAAATATACTCAACTAAAAACGGATAAGTACAGAGTATCGACGTATTTTATCAATATCAATTTTTAATATTTTTATAATTGGTTGAATTTAAAACAATGAACAACTTACCTTCAGTTCCCGGAAAGTTTTAAAGGTACAGAGTATTGCCCTGAATTTGTATCAAAATTAATTGTACTACTATTACATTAATTGTATCACTACAAGATATCGAGATACAAACTCGATTTCATCGAGCCACCACCTTCAAAGACACACAATATCTTGTCTTGTCCTTCTTTCTTTTAGCTTATCTACCAAGATTTCACCATCACTACATCTTTTATCAACAACGCACTCTAAATCTTACGATATGAAATTAATAACCACATTATTTTATGAATTTCATAGACTTTAAAAAGACCGCTTTTCTTTTGCTTCGGTTACAGATAATATAAAAGACAGGCAGGTCTTGAAAATAAAAAACCTACCATTTTTATGTAACATTTATAACATTTTGTTTACTAAACCTTCTTCAAACTTGAATAAATAATTTTATTAACAACAATAAAATTACGATAACTTTAGCTGAGATTTGGTTTAAAAATATTTCTTGTTTATTAAAGGTTTTAACATTATTAACATTAACATTATTGATAAACATCAAAATGTGTGCAACATTAGTAGAATGCTAGGGTTATACATATTACAAATTAGCAGCTGTAACTTTATAGACATTGTACATACGTAAAGAAAATTCTAAACAAGACTAAAATTGAAATAAGATTAAAAATACTTCCATTTCGAAAATTACTAATTTTCTACGGGACTGAGTAATGGCAACACATCTTTGAAATTGAACAACAAATCAAATCACGTCAGAAATAAGTCCACGGATTTATTTACAATTTATTGCAATTTAAGATATTGTTGTCTTTATCTACCAAGTGATAATACGTGAGAGCGGGTGGTTTCTTATCTGTCATGCTAGATTATATTTCGCACACGTATGACGCCTAACTGCAACGCACATTTTTCACCACTCAACACTCACCCTGTGCGTCTTTAAAATTCTTTCTGTCAGAAGAACAAGAACAGTTCTAAGATTCTTGAAGAGCCAGTAACCATTGCTACGAAAATGGCTGGATCAGCGTTGCGGCGGCTTATGGCGGAATACAAACGTGAGTGCAGAGTACTACCATTATTTAATTTGGAAAGTTTACTTTCACAATAATTTATTTATGTAGGTAGAAGGTAGATAGTTCGATAAATAATTTTTAGTATGGATTAATTGCAACAATATTTAAATGTCCAGTTCTATAATATAATCACTAAAATAATAATAAAATAAACAATCATCAGCCAAAAAAAGAAGATAGCTAGGCAGCATCTAGATGTATAAAAATAGCAACTATAGTCAGAATTTTAATTAGATTCCAGATTTGACAATAGCTACTGTCATTTTGTGAAATAATGATACCACATATAATAGTGTAGTGATGAACACAAAAATCGATGAACAATCAGTGTGTGTGTTTTATAATAAATGTTACAGAAAGTGACAGGATAGCGATAGCGATGACGGCGACAATTTATAAAATAACTTGTTACCATAATACATCTATCTGTTTTATTTATCATGTTCCTTCATGATTACATTTTTTATTTATTTTACACACAATTATAAAAGAAAAGTCTCAGATCATTAATTACTCGTCAAAACTAAATTATCGGTTCAAAAATATTTAATTTTCTGATATACTTAGTTTACGAGAGTAAAATTATAAACGAGAAGAATCGATCCAGAAATATTGCATTTCCATATCGAATAATTTCGCAACGTCACTATTTAGTACTTGTCATAACGTTGCAACCCTGAAATTGTCAAATCTGGAATCGAATTAAAATTCCGAGTATATCTGCCTACCTGCCATTTTATTGTTAAACCAGCCATCAGCTAATAAGTACATTGACCCAACATACAGCACTACCTACTTGCACTGTCTCAGCATTGTGACAATAAAAGCTCATAAAAATTAATAATCCTCCATTTTTTCAGAGCTGACTATCAATCCTCCAGAGGGTATTATTGCAGGACCTATTAACGAAGAGAACTTTTTCGAATGGGAGGCACTTATCACGTAAGAACAGTTCTTAGTGAAGATTTAATATTAGAACTAAAACATTTAATGTAATATCAAATAAATTTGCAGAGGACCAGAAGGAACATGCTTCGAAGGAGGCATATTTCCAGCAAAGTTACACTTTCCCCCGGACTACCCACTGAGCCCACCTAAAATGGAGTTCACATGCGAGATGTTTCACCCAAACAGTATGTACTGCATATTTTTAACAAAAATTAAGATAACTTTTTCTTCAACATAGGTACCCACTTGGTAATTATTTTTTGTTACTCAGTGTTGCATTATGAGATTATTATCATTCCTTGAATGCATACTAGAATTTGATACTTCTTCTACACAGTATTTTGTTATAGTGGATAAAAAAGTCATCACAATAAGGAGAAGCATTTATTAAACTGTCAAACACCAAGCGGTCACCGGTGACCGCAACCTATTGTTCTATAATTGTGTCTATAGTGACGGTACTCGACGAGTTAATGACATCATCATTTTTACAACATGTCAGGCCACCGCTGCCATACAATAGACCAATGGATTGTAATTGAATAATTTACTGGATTATTTTCATACTATACAAATCTTGACCCTGCCAATGACAAACAACAAAAAAGTCCAATTTGCCACTGTTGTATTGCAGTTATGTGTGCATACATTTCGGTGTTATATTGTCCAATCACCAGTTGTAGTGCAGCTACTCATTTTTAATAGTTAACTTATCTGTTAACATAATATGCTGTCTCCCCTTAGCTGGTTTGCGTAGTAAAAATATTAAATTTATATTTTATTTTTGTTCATTAGTTTGTACTTAAATATATTTTACCCAAAGACAATGCTTTTCATAATATAGGTATACATCATTGATTTGTTAGAAATTATGTGTGTGACTTGTATGCCATAGCGTTTGCAAATTAGCGAGTGTTATGCCATGTCTACTAGCCAAGTTTTATAATGAACACACTTTGCTGGCGTTTTCATTTCTTATTAGTTTTCATTTCTTATTAGTTACTCTAAATTCTTACTTGAGCTTCAATCTCACAAGATTTGTATTCTCTTATGACACAAATCTGTTGGTGGGGGTAGGGCTCATATTATAATATTATTTTGTGTTATCCTTCGTTTTTATTTTATTGTATTTATTTGTTAAAGGAGAGAAAACGATTAATTTGTTACGATCAAATAATAAAAATGTAGATAATAGTACAAACACACTTCAATCTTTCCAGTATATGCTGATGGCCGTGTGTGCATATCAATCCTGCATGCGCCTGGTGACGATCCCATGGGATATGAGAGCAGTGCTGAGCGATGGTCGCCTGTACAAAGTGTGGAGAAAATACTACTCTCTGTCGTCAGCATGCTAGCTGGTAAGTCATTTAACATCTCAGTTATTCCAAATTTTAATAAAAGCCACTGCTTTTTTCTTGTATTCCGTTTACTTTTTTCTGCATCATCCAAAATTAAGACTAATTAATAATGACATCGGCGTTGAGTGTGCTTGTATAAGCGCGTGGCACTTAAATAAATAAATTAAACAAAATATTGACCTCATATACCTAGTCAATATCAAAACATTGTTTGAAGTTCTGTTTAATTTTAGAGCCAAACGATGAGAGTGGTGCCAACGTTGATGCCGCCAAAATGTGGAGAGAAGATCGAGAACAGTTCAATAAAATTGCTGAGAAACTTGTCAGAAAAACCCTGAGTTTGGAATAGTTATACATAATGCGATAACATTAAGATCCAAGTTTAATCAATTTTCTGGGAGATAGCGGTTCTAACTACTTCATTCAATAGGCTATATCTTATACTATTATATAAAGCTCAAGAGTTTGTTTGCTTGTTTGAACGCTCTATTCTCGGTAATTACTGGTCCGATATGAATAAATCTTTTTGTATTGGAGAGCACACTTATCGAAGAAGATTATTATGGGCTATAAAAATCACGCTACGATCAATAGAAGCCGAGCAGTGCGGGTGTATGCGCGCGGGAATAGCTAGCCTACAATAAATATAAATACGCTTAGGCCTTTCTGCATGCCAATTTATAAAACTATAAAAATATATTTTGGAAATCGTCTAAATTAGTCACATTCGCCCCGCAATGAGTAGATAATTATTGTTGTTAATATTATAAAGCAATGTTTTATGGAAAATAATAATTGAGCCACTTTAATATTTTTACTGCCTTACCTTTTAAAACAAGGGAGTTATAGAATTTCATTAACAGCCTGATACTTATTTATTGAAATGGAGAGACTATGGAATGCCATTTGTTTTACGATTCTAACATACCTCTTTCGATTCATCAACAGACATCGGTCTTTTCATGCATGCTCGTCGGTTAAAGGTTAATTTGGCGCTTCTTTAAGACATCGCCAATCTGGTCAATATGCAGGGTGTATGGTGCATGCACAGACACATTTTTTTCAAGGATTTGGTCATTAGCTACCTTTTACCCGTAAACCCTTCGTCCCAAATGTCACGGTTGGTCACATATGATGAGTTTATCTACGACAGGGTTGTCTATCCGATTCCGAAAACCTGTGCACGCCACTGCCTCTGCCGACGGCCCCATTAATATAGATACATACGTCTTTCGTTACTCTACTACGTCCAAACCATCGTAACATTCCCTTTTTAATCCATGTCACTACAACATCTTTCAATCCTCACCTTTCACAACACAATTTCTCACTCGACCACTCAATTTTACTCCACACATACTTCACAGGGCTCCCATTTCATCCACATTAATCATGCTTTGATGCTTCTGCCGCACCCATGATTCACCATCACCATACATAAACGTTGGTGTCAATACACACTGCATTACAGCTACTCGAGCTTTGCTGGATATTATTTTAATCAAGACTAGTATTTGGCACCATTGAAACTATTTCCCGCTCACACTTTCCAACTCTCTTAAGCAGAGGTCCTATAAACAAACTCACTCACTTGTTCCTATTCTCAAAATATTTCTTCAACTGATTTAGAACATCGTTACTTTCTCCAATCACACTCCCGTTTATATCTCTTATCTTACTTTCAAATCCCTTCACTTTGTCTTTGGCAGTTGTAACTCAATGCCAGAACAATTTAGAATTTTGACGAGGACCTCGACTAGTTTCAAAGCATTCTAGAGGCTCATATAAATGAGCAACATTCCGCGACATGATGCCGACACGGCGACTGTCGCGTTGCAACCTAGAGGTTTTTTTGTAAAAAAATACTTTATGGATGGCAGTCATAAAATCTTCGTGTAATTCTTTCCTCCATTGAAAACCGATCTGTTATCAAAGTACGCATTAAATACGAAACAAGGCGAAACTAAGTCATACAAAACAATATTGACCAAATATAAATTTTGGTGACAAGACATAATAAAAATATAAATATAGTGCCCATTGTTTATTAAAGTGAATCGATCTATATATACATCTGTTATACGATACGTATAAATGTCTATTAGAAAAGAAGTTTATGATCAGAATAGCAGTCTTCATATTCAAAGAACTATTTTATTATAATTTAAAAGTTGAGAAAAATGTAAATATGGTTCTTATTAAACTGTCAAACACCAAGCGGTCACCGGTGACCGCAACCTATTGTTCTATAATTGTGTCTACAAAACCGGTACTCGACGAGTTAAAATGTTATTAAAGCACAATCATGTACGTCTGAGAATGACGCACTTTTCTGTTTTAAGACTTTAAAATCCTAAATTAATGGTAATTTTATTGTTAATATTTTGAAGAGTGCTTTCAAGGACAAAAGATAAAATTTTCTGTCCATAGATAATACATACTGGACTATAATAACATTTTAAATTGATTGTCTTAAACTAGAATTTTTGAATCTTAGCATCTGCTCAGGTATCTATCCAGAGGCCTTAAAAATATCCATTATAAAACCATTATTTAAAAAGGAAAATAGGGAACTCATGGAATATTATAGGCCTATTGCGCTTATTTCAATTATATCGAAAATATTTGAAAAATATATATATAGAGAGACTTATAAACATTTAGAAAAAAACAAGTTATTGTGCTACGAACAGAAAGGATTTAGACAGGGTAAATCAATTAATATGGCAATATTTGATTTTATAAGAGGCGTCATAAAGCATGTAGATGAACGTAAACCGGTATGTGCCATTTACTGCGACATGACACAAGCGTTTGATTATGTACACTTTGATACACTCGTGAATAAACTTGAAGCCTATGGTATTAGAGGGAACACTCTAAGCTTAATAGAATCTTATTTACGTAACAGAAAACAAATAACTGAAATATGTAGAATGAATGAAAATAATTACGAAGAAACTTTTCGGTCGTCTGAACGTGAAGTTAGATATGGAGTACCACAGGGGAGCGTTCTGGGGCCGTTACTTTTTATATTGTATATAAATGACCTCCCGAAACACGTTGGTCAACCATTAACTCTGTTTGCCGACGATAGTACCATAACTATACCCTGCATTGATCCTAAATTATATGAAAATGATATTAATAATGCTCTAGCGACAGTTATGGTTAAATAACAATAACTTAAAAATTTATCTAACAAAAACAAGCGTAATGCATTTTAGCCAAAGAATACCCAGTAAAAACCTCAACGTGAATTATAACAATAAAGTAGTGGATAAAGTTGCAAGCACAAAATTTTTGGGTTTGGAAATAGATCAAAATCTGAACTGGAAATCACATGTAGTCAAGGTTTGCAAGAAACTAAGTAAATCCGCATATGCCTTACATGCATTATCGTTGAAGGTTTCAAGGAAGCGCTTCTTACCGCCTACTACGGTTTAGCTGAATCCCATCTTCGTTACGGGGTTATATTCTGGGGTAATTCAACCGACAAAGATATGACATTCAAGGCCCAAAAAAGATGCATTCGGTCAATGTATAAACTAAACACTACAGATAGTTGTTACCCGTATTTTAAAGAACTTAACATTTTAACATTACCGTGTATTTATATAATGGAAATGGCTATGTTTGTCAAGTCAAATCCACATTATTTTAAAAAATGAACGACGTAGTAGCACGTAGTAGACGAGACGATAGTCAACTATGTCTTCAAAGAGCGAAGACAACACTAATGAGCAAAAGTGTCTGTTGCATGGCACCTAAAATCTTTAATAAATTACCTAAATCCTGGAGAGATTTGAGTATGTCAATATTAAAAAACAAGTTGAGAAAATTATTAGTTGACAAAGCATATTACAATGTTGCAGATTTTCTAATGGACAATGGAATAGAATAATATTTTAAACCTGTCCTGTACCTATATTTTGTTAATGCAACTATTTTAATTTCTGTAATCAATTTAATAAGTACATTGCATAATATTGATTTTATTTTATATAATTTTATTCTTTTAATAATCTGTTAATTCATATTTGCATGCCTCCTGGTAAAATATGGTTGAGCTCGCAATGTACCTAAACACCACAAATTGTATTACCCATATTTGCAAATAAACTATCTTTATCTGGAATGTGGAAAAAACACTAATAACTTAATATGCATGAGGCAATGACGTAATGCATATTATTCAATTCTGTGATATGTACTTGGATATACAAGTTGATGTTACGAAAATGTACTGTAACGGAGAAGGCCGAGCAGAAAATTGGAAAGCGACGCAGCAACTACTGTCTCTTATTTTTTCGTTCAATCTGATACATTGTGATAGTACAGGCCTGTAAAACAGTGACCATTCAGAAATGTATGTAAAGAGTATCAGAGTTGTCAAACAGCCTTTTTGCGACATCAACTTTCAATGGTAACATTCTAAATGTTTATTGTGTTAATCAATAAGTTTGTAATGTATTTAATTGTCTGTATATTGGTAAACATTTTTTTTAATTATTGTATCTAGTTTATTATCAAATTCTGCCACTACGTACTTACAATATCAATAAAGTACTTGCTTCAGCTTCATTTTCGTATAGATTGCAGTCTAGCTTCATTTGTCATTAGCTTAAATTAGTGTCAAATTTATTAAAAGTTACTTACAAATAAATTGTGTACTTATCAGTTAGTTTTGGTGTCACTTATAATTTTCCATAGAACAGTTTATGTTTATACGTATAGTGATATTTATTAGCAGAGTTTTAATAAAATGTGGTCTGTAAAAGTTTGTTTTGTGGAATGTTTCATTGTAACTTAAAAAGACATTGTTAGATATTTATGTAATGTAACAATTCTACAATCATAAATGATAATATTTAAATTTGTCTATCTGTGGTTTGAGGAATTCCGTCGAGGTTGTGCTATTTAATAGCTTCATTCAGCATTTCCTCAGGAAATGTATACCTACAGTTCCAGTATAAGATCTATGACGAGCATATTTAAATTTGTCGTTAAAATAGAAGAATGTTAAACGTAATAGATGTCTATATTTTACTAATAATGTGTAAAAATATTCGTGTTATATTGTTGATACATAATAAACTTAGTTTTGATACGAAGATGGTTTATTTTGTAATACCCAAATTACACGAATATTTGTACCTACAATTACACACAGTGTGGCGTATATAAAGCATACGACTGGAGTAGAAAATATTATGTAGGGAGGTTTTTACAGTTTTGCGCCAAGTTATACACAGTTGGTAGAACACTTGTTTGTAAAATTGTATTTATTGTTTCATCAGAATCAGTTTCCTCGTACGTTTAAGGCAAGATTTAAATGATTAATAAAAATCTATTTTAAAAATATTTTCAATAGTATATTCGTAACTAGTGCATTATAATTATTATTTAACCTACCTCTAGTTCTCATTTCACCTCCCAAGCACCGTTTAATACCTACTTAGTTTTAAATTCAAATTATTATGTTTAATCAATGTTTTATGTTCATTAATATTTAAACTCGATCGATGTATCTCGATCTCGATTAGTTAACATTAACTTTGAGTAGCCTTCTAACGTTGAAAGGATATTTTATTAAAAACTGAAATCAGTTCAA